AGTGGCCACCAACCGCTCACTCTCCTCATCAGACGATGCGTAAGAAACACCCATTGGCACGCAACTGCTGTGCGCCGAAGCTGTGGGGTGCACCTTGCCAGGAATGTGAAACTCTATCCAGGAGGTAGACGGTTCTTCGGCCGCGGAAGTTGTTGCCAATTCTGTAGGCAGTTGGATGCAACCTCCAAAGCTCTCACGAAAAGCGAGATTTCGTTTTCTGGGGAAATCCGCAGCTGACTGTTGGAACGGCGAACTGTCCGAAGAGCTCGCCGGGGCCAAATTAAGGTGTTGTAGCTGGCAATGCAAGTCGACGGCTTGTTCAGTTTCAATAGCCCGGTTCATGCGGCCGTTCGCCGAGCCTTCTTCAGCGCCGTCATGCAACCGTCGGTGTAGCGGATGCGATTCCCGTCAGCGCAATGGATTATTCTCTTTTGTGCGGGTCGAACAGGTCATTCGAATTCGTGTCCACACCCTGCAAAACAGCGGAGCAGACTGTAAGCACGGTCAAATTTAAGCGTTGAGGGCACAAAGTTCGCCGGGATCCGAATTTGGCGGGTGCAGGAGTAGCAAGGAACCTGTTTTCGCACGGGTTGTGTCAGTGGAAGGTAGCGCCAGTGGGTGCACACAAGGAACATTATGTTTGGGCGAACAGAAGGCAGGCTCTGTTGTCGGTGAACAATAGCACGCGCAGAACAAAGGGTAGTGGTGGATGCACCACCACATAATTCGGCGTAGCGCGACCCCAAACAGACCCCTATAAACACCGATTCTCACCATCATCTAAGCGAGCTCGTGCGGTACTCCATTCGCTGGCACTAGTGCAATAGCGACCCCCGATTCGCGCGCCGGGAACGTCGACGTGCGACAGCGCGAACCGGACAGCACGCAGAAACACAAGCATGTCTGCGTCAAGACTCCGCACACCGCGACGGTCAAAACCCTTGGGGGGCAGAAAAGATCGTGGGTGCGAAAAATTGCTCGTCTTCTGAAATGCCCTTGAAGGGGTTTATGGGGGTTGGCGACGGTGACAACGGTCGTGTCCCTTACTCTCGGCAACCCCCATGAACCCCTTCAAGGGGATTTCAGAGGGCGAGCAATTTCTCGCACCCGCAGTCCTCTCGCAATCAACTCACATTTGAAGCTCCAGGCGCCGTGCGAAGGACGGATAGATTTGCGGTGATCCTCAAAGTCCGCCAAGATCCGAACTTGGCGGATTTGCCTGCAGCGAGTAAAAGGTTTTCGCGCGGCTGCAGGTATTGGAACGGGTGGATGGCGTTTGCACAGAAGCAGGCGATGATCGGCCGCACAGCATTTCGGGGCGGCGATGAACGAAGTTCCACGACACACCGGAAATGCACCCGGCCAGTGACAATGTCGTCAACCCCAATAAACCCCTTTCCGGGCAACTCACAAGGCGAGCACTTTTCCGCACTACTAGGCCGCCGACATTGAAGACGGACTGGGCAGTCCAAGCTGTTGAAAATAACGGTCAGATTTACGGGGAGCCTCTAAGTTCGTCGGGATTCGAATTTGGCGGATGCAGGAGTAGCAAGGAACCTGTTTTCGCGCGGCTTGTGTCAGTGGAAGGTAGCGCCAGTGGGTGCACACAAGGAACGCTATGTTTGGGCGAACAGAAGGAAGGCTCTGTTGTCGGTGAACGATAGCACGCGCAGAACAAAGGGTAGTGGTGGATGCACTACCACACAATTCGGCGCAGCGCGACCCCAAACACACCCCTATAAACTCGATTCTCACCATCGTGTAAGCGAGCTCGTGCAGTTTTCCATTCATAGGTACTAGCGCAAGAGCCTATCGAACTCGGACATCCCCGCTGCGTAGACAAGAAAAATGTAGAAAAGGATGAAAGATCCACCCTTCAACCCTTCCAAACATTGATTCGGCCAGCCGAGAAGGCGACCCCCGATTCTGCGACAAGACTCCGCACATCGCGACGGTCAAAAGCATTGGGGGGCAACAAAGATCGTGGACGCGAAAAATCGCTCGCCTTCATAAATCCCCTCGAAGGGGTTAATGTGGGTTGTCGGCGGTGACAACGGCCGTGTCCCTTATTTTCGACAACCCCCATGAACCCCTTGAAGGGCATTTCAGAGGGCATGCAATTTCTCGCACCCACAGTCCTGTCGCAATCAACTCACACTCGAAGCTCGAGGCGCCACGCAAAGGACGGATGGATTCACGTCGATCCTCAAAGTCCGCCAGGATCCGAACTTGGTGGATTTGCCTGCATTTGTAATGGGTGGATGGCGTTTCAACAGAAGCAGGCGTTGCTCGGGCGCACCTCATTTTGGGGCGCCGATGAACGAAGATCCACGGCACACCGGAAATGGACCCGGCCAGCGACACCGTCGTCAACCCCAATAAACCCCTTTCAGGGCAACTTACAAGGCGAGCAATTTTGTGCAATAACAGGCCGCCTGCATTGAAGACGGACGGAGAAGTCCAAGCCGTTGAAAACAACAGTCAGATTCATGCGGCGTCTCGAAGTCCTCCGGGATCCGAATTTGGCCGATGCTGGAGTAGCAAGGAACCTGTTTTTGCGCGGCCGGTGTCAGTGGAACGGAGCGCCAGCGGGTGCACACAAGGAACGCTATGCTTGGTCGCACAGAAGGAAGGCTCTGCCGCTCTCGAGCTGTCGTTGAATGTCAGCACGCGCAGAGCAAAGGGCAACGGTGGATACACCACCACAAAATCGGGCGCAGCGCGACCCCAAACTGAGCCCTAGTGCAAACGTTCATCGAGATCACACATCCCAACCACGCAGACAAGAAAAATGTAGAAACTGATGAAAGACCCCCCCTGCAACCCTTCCAAACCCCGATTCGGCCAGTCGAGAAGGCGACCCCCGATTCGCGCGCCGATAACGCAAACGTGCGAAAGCGCGAATCGGAAACCACGCAGAAACACGAGCATGTGTGCGACAAGAATCCGCCCACCGGGACGGTCAAAACCCTCTGGGGGCAACAAAGATCGACGGCACACAGACAAGGGACACGGCCGCTATCACCGTCGGCAACCCCCACAAACCCCTTGAAGGGCATCTCATTAGGTGAGCAATTTTTCGCACCCACAGTCCTCGCGCAATCAACTCACACTTGAAGCTCCAGGCCTCATGCGAGCACTGTTGCTTGCCCGGAGGCCTCTGGTAATCCGAAGACACTCGACAGTCGTGGCCGTCGAAAACGGCGGTTAAATTTATGCAGGACCTCAAAGTCCGTCGGGATCCGAACTTGGCGCTTGCTGGACTGGCCAGGAACCGGTTTGCGCGGGGGACGACGGATATTTGGATGACCGGTGTGGAATTGCACAGAAGGAACGCTAGGCTTGGCTGCATCTTCAGGGAGGCCCTGCTGCTGCTCACAAGTGTTTGTTCCAACAGAGCACGCAGAACAGAAATGGTCGTCGCAGGTGCACCACGTCGGAAATTGGCGCAGCGCGGCCCCCAATAGACCCCCATGGACCACGATTCTCCTCATCGACAAAACGAGCACTTGCGGCGATCCAGTCGCAAATGTTGCCATCCTTGATGACAATGACTGCAAGCACAAAAAGAAAATGACCACGGCTGGTGGACCCTCGATTAGTACCGCAGACAAGGCGAGCTCGCAGTCGGGCAATGGCAGGTTCCACAGCCAGGTTCATGGGACCACGTGCTGGTGCCAACCACGAAGTCCGCCCGGATCCGAACTTCAAATCGGTTGCCGCGTTTGACCGGGAGCATTAAACACTTTGTTTTTGTTGGGTTCCCGTTGGTAGGACTTTTTTTTTTTGCGGCAACGGCAACGAAAGAACAGTCATGCAACCAGGACTCTGGAAAGATCCATGCAAACCGTAAGCGTCTTATTTCAGCGACGCGGTCGAAACAACAATAATCATCCGAGCAGCCCGCGACTTCGCATGCTTCAGATTGCAAGTCCGCCGGGATCCGAACTTCGTCGCACGCTGAAAACTGACATGGCGTTATGAACCATCGACCCCACGCCCGAAAGATGGGAACTGTGTCCCGCAAAACGTAGTCATCAGGGCAACCTGGGATGGCATTGTGACTGCGAACGCGAAACCAACAACCGCCAAAAAAATGGGAACTTCGGATCCCGGCGAACTACAGCAATCATGCGCTATTTTCGCACCTGCGCGTGCTCTCCCTGCGGCCGCGCGACGGCAACAGATTGCTGCTTTCGAGAGAGCTCTGCGCATGATTGTTGTAGTTCGCCGGGATCCGAACTTCCCATCTCGCCAGGCAACCACACGCCACGCGCCGTTTTTCGTTTGGCTGTTGTTGGTTTCGAGCTTGCGGTGACAATGGCAACCCCCCTTGCCCCGATGACAGAGACGTTTCCCGGAGGCGGCCGGATTGTTCGTTACTGAACGAGGCCATGTTTTCGTGTCGAGGTTGTTGTCACGAAACATGCGGCGCTCACGCCGAAGAAACGCCATCGTCATTGCAGCGAGCGGCGCAGGCGTTTTCCATCGCGCGCACACAACGTTTGCATTCTTCGTTCTGGAGCCCGCGGATGTTGCACGCGCAGTCCTGGCATTTGTCGTGCGGAATGCGATATCGCATCCCTCACGACCAGCGCCAGGAGCGCGCTCAACATCCATGGCCTCTATGGTGGATCATGTGCACGTTGTGTGCGCGGGATGGAGACGACAGCAACTCTCCCGGGATTGACGCCATAGTCTCTTCAGGGAGGGAGGCTCAAGTGTTGTGGCGAAAACACGAACACGGAATGACGACCCCCTCCTGTTTATGAATACCTTACCTTTCACTACACGCCACGTGGACGGCGGACATCCTTCCCACCGTGGCCACCGCACGACGCTTAGTATCAACAGCGGTCGCGCGCAGCCCATGCATCTCCTTCGTGATAACCAACCTCTAATCTCATTGTTGAGAACAGCAAACGAGCGAGGGAAGTGTTTTAAAGGGGTTTCGTGTTCCGTTGGGAATAGGCGATTTCGTGTTTGCCTCGACCGCGCGGGAGTGGTTTGCAATGTCCAGCTTGTGATCAACGGCAGTTTTTCTTCAATGCCAAGCCAAACAAGAATCGTGGGGGCGGTCGCGTGGAACGAATGAGAGAGAAGCAGAACGGGACATGCAAACCGTGTGCCCCGATGTCCACGTCATCCGTTCCCGCCGTCCCAGCCACTTGCTACACGTGGCACGACATGATGATAATGATGACGACGGTGATGAACACGATGATGGTGACGATTACGATGGTGATGTTGATCTGGGCGACGATGTCGCTGACGATGATGACGATGTTGATGACGATGATGATGTCGATGATGATGTCGATGATCATGTTCGTGATGATGATGATTGCGATGACGACGATGATGATGATGACGATGATGACGRCGATGATGACGATGTTGATGATGGCGATGACAACGAAGAGGACGATGGTGGTGATTTTGATGATGGCGACGATGTCGCTGATGATGATGATGTTGTTGTCGACGTTGATGATGTTGATGATGATGTCGATGATGATGACGATGTTGATGACGTTGACGAGGTTGATGATGATGTTGTTGATGACGATGATGATGTTGATGAAGATGATGATGATCACGATGACAATGATGGTGATGATGATGATGCTGATGAAGATGATGACGCTGATGGTGGTGGCGACGATGATGGTGAAGATGGGGGCGATGATGATGATGATGATGGCAAGCAAGAATCACGGGCCCGCTCGCGAGGAAAGGACGAGCGGGAATCAGAAGGGGACACAAAAACCATGTGGCCCAATGTCACCGACATCCTTTCCCTCCGTCCCCGCAACTTGAAACAGGCGGCGCAACGCAGCCACTCCCATGGGCCGGCGAACATGCCTGACACGTGGGCAGGCAGAACAACACTTTACCTTGAAGAGGGCACAGCGCACACGATGGCGCTGCTCTTTGACGGCTCACAGTTCTTCGAGGAGGCACAGTTCTTCGATGACGGCGAAGTGCACACGATGGCGCAACTGTTCGACAAGGGCTCAGCGCAAACGGCGGTGGCCACTTGCTGACGCAGGACGCAGAGATGAGATGTCGAAGCGGAGACAACCGAACCACAGACGATAGTTGTCGACGAGAGGAAACCCCTGCGCCCACGCGGTGGCCGCCTGGCGCAACAGCGGAGCAGAAAAGGCGATGGAGGATGTCGCTGACGGGACGTCGAGCGCGAATGCGCTCGTCAGGCTCGAGATGCGAAAGGCCTTCCCCAGACCCGAGGCAGCTGAGCGTCAGACTATCGTCGCACCCCATGGAAAGACCCGCCTGTGTCCCCCCACACGGCCACAGACCCCGCTCGCCAGCCAGGAGACGCGAATTGCCGCGAACCCCTCCAACCTCCCCTTTCCCCCAGCCCCCCGCCCCCCTCCCCCCTCCCGCGGTTCTCCCCCCTCACCCCTGGAAAGTACAAACTGGCCCCCGCCGACACCTGAGACCCCCTGCCCCGGGGCCCGCGAACCCGAAGACACGAACGCGAGGGGCCCGGAACAAGGGCCCGTTTTCCAATGACGTCCGAGAAGGGCCAGCCCGCAGGGACCTTTTTTGTCACATTTCGACCCACCAGGCCCCCCTCGCGACAATTTCGACGTGCAGCCACCGTTTGATGCGCGGATCGAACAGTCGCGAGTCGGCGCGCGGACCCTGCACGGAAATCCGAAACGGAAGGCCCGAGCGAGCCTCGTGTCCCGCGCGCCTACATATACGAGCGGCGCCCTGGGCATTGACGATGCAATTTGCGTTTTTTGCTGGGGAGATGCTGCCCAACGGAAGCCACGCACCACCACTGTCGTCAACAGCTGGCGCACCATAGCTGGCACAACCATTCTTCACCGCGCACGTTTCGTGGCACCAACGCACCCCACATGCCCTCGCATGTCCCTCCGCCTACCAAGTCGCGGTCCACGTCATATTGGACGTCGCTTCCGGTCTCCTTTCTCGGAAAGCGCGACCGCCACCCCACGCAGCACCCCAGCAAACGCGAAGTGCACGCCCAAAGGTGGACAGAGTGCCGTGACGACAAACGCCGGGGTTCGTGCTCATCTTCACTCGGCAGTTCCACACGGTGAGTGCGCACGCAGTCGGGATGTATGTTTGCATGTGCGTGTGTGCGGGGGAGGTTTTTTGTGGCGATATGCTCGCGCAGATCGAAAGATTTCGTGGCTGCATGTGTGCGGGTTGGTGTGGGTGTGTGTGTGTGTTTGTGTGCGATTGTGTGTTTGTGCATGCTTCATTGTGTGTGTGTGTGTTCGAGTCCGTGTTCCTTTGTGTTTGTGTTTGTATTGAAGTGTGTGCCACACGCGCGAGGCAGGATCGTGCGCACGTCAGTACCTGAGGGGCGTGTGTCTGTGGGCGCCGTGTGTGAGCGTGTGTGTGTGTGTGTGTGTGTGTGTGCGTGTGTGTGCCTGTTTGTGCATATGTGTTAGCGTGCGTGTGTGTTCGTGTACGTTTTCCGCGGGGAGATGCGCGCGAACGTGCGCGGTCAGGGATAAACGTCATGGTTCGCCCTTCGATTCAGCTTGTGTGTGGATGTGTGAGGATGTGCGAGGAGAGTATCAACAAACGATTGCGCTCGTGCTGTACTCAAGTGGCGAAGCACGGAAGCTCGGATCGAACACGAGGCGGCCAGTAACGAAACAYAACGTCATCGTGAGCACTTACCATACCCGATTGGTTTTGTGTSTTGTCCGCCGATCTKCCCAATGGATGATCAATCGAAACACGCRGTGGCAATSTCGACACAGCGAACGCATCCATCGACCAATCGCGAAACACGATGAGATCACTCKCGATCGGAKGATTGSTCGTGTCTGCCGTGTCGACGTTACCACCGCGTGTGTGTCGTTCTTTCTGTCGTGTGTGTTCAGATCACTCGTGATCTGATGGTCGATCTGATCCATGACAATATGTACACCACACACGTGATGAACCGACCCATCACGAAACGCAAGCCGACCACTCGCGATCRGGTGATAGATGCTGTTTGCTTCCCCAACAACATCGCCTCTGATCTGCCCGACGGATGATTAACCAAYGCACGAGGCGACAACGCATCCAACCGACCAATCGCGAAACGACAGAAGATTACTTGCGATCGGATGATTGATCGTGTGTGYTGCACCGAAGATCAACCCGCCGGCGAGCGACCTGATTATTTACCCACCYGAMAGTCCTCGACCGAACTGTCGATCSGTCAGGAAATCTGCCAGGATCAACTGATTGGTGGACAGCTCGGTTGGCGATTGCTCTGCTGGTTGATCAACCACCACACCAACTGCCAACCGGGCAGYCGGTCAACCAATCGACTGTTTTGTGCTAATTGATCGTGGAGAACGATCGCGGAGAATCCTCAAGGCAAATGATCATGTGCACGATCGAAASTGGTGAACGAAATGCACAACCGATCGGAAAAACRTCGATCYCGATCTTCGAAYGAATAAAAAGCACTTCGTCACAATCTTGTTGCACATCGAACCTCGTACAACATCGAACCATGCTGCCCATGGAACCTGGCTCCACATCAAACCTCGGCGGGCGTCGAACCTCGTCAGACGTCGAACTTTGGAGGACGTAGGGTCGTCGACACTTGACGGTCACTTAACGGCGAACGTTGAGCACCCASCACCCCACGCGTCGCCGRCACTGYTCTCSTGATCGGAACGTGGCCGTTCCAACCGAACTGATCGCGCAATCAAACACCCGAAGAAGTTCTGATCCCGGCGAGCTTGTGCAGCTGTTCGAACACGCTTCTCAACCCCGGTGCGCAACCACAGCCGGGGACGTGGAAAATTAGAAGTCCGTCGGGATCCAAACTTCAAGAAATTGTTGTACGACGAGTTTGGCAGACACGTGTGCATCTCCCACGTAATTTCGCCAAGTTCGGATCCCGGCGAACTTCATGCAGCTGTTCGAACACGCTTCGCAACCCCGGTCCCCAACCACAGCCTAGGACGTGTAAAAATTGAAAGTTCGCCGGGATCCGAACTTGAAGAAATTGCTGGACGGCGAGTTCTGCAGACAGGTGTATGTCTCCCACGCAATTTCGCCAAGTCCGGATCCTGGCGAACTTCATGCAGCTGCTCGAACACGCTTCGCAACCCCGGTCCTCAACCACAGCCTGGGACGTGGAAAAATATGAAGTCCGTCGGGATCCGAACTTCAAGAAATTGCACTACAGGTTCGGATCCCGGCCAACTACAGGTACCTGCTGGCCTGCGGATCCAAACCTCGCTCGCACTATTCCTTGCACACTGGCCGATTCCGGACCTCGGCGAACCTCGGATCCGTGATAATGCGAAGTCCGCCGGGATCCGGACTTCTACTGCATGGTTCCCCGCACAGACGTCAAGTTCGCACCCTGGCGACTTCGCTTGTCTCAATGTGCGGGTTCAGAACGCGGGTTTCTAGCTCCAGGGGTTTGGCACAACTTTGTATTTGAAAAAATGTGTAGCCCGCCGGTTGATTCTCTCCCACTCGGTCTCGAGAAGTTCGGATCCCGGCGAACACCGG